TCGAGTTTAATCACATCTTTTCTCAGCAGCCAACATTTCCCACTATCCCTTCAAGGTCATCCAGTTTGCAGTGATTGTGCGTGAGAGTCAAAGTGCTGCCTGCACTTACTGTATGCTGTTGCGGGCTGTGCGATGCCAGCAGTTTGGAACGAGTTGAAAATGAACGCACATGATTGACCCCCAGCGAAAAGTCCTCCGAAGTTGCCTGTCCTTAATAATGATTCGTTGGTGTACATTGATGCACCCATCCCTAGCAGCTGGACTGTAATCATGGTGATCGACGCTTTGTAAAACAAAGCGCTCACACGCTTTCCAAACCAGTATTTTACCTGATCGATAGAAAAGACGCGTTTAGATTTGAAGGGTGGTCGTCCGTGCGATGATAATAATGATCACAGTCTATGGTTCATGCTTACGGGGTTTCCGGCATTGAGCACTCTCGAACTCGCTGCAATCCTAAGGGGAAATTAGAAGTCATCGCGACAGAACTGGAAGATATCTGAACTTACTCTGTCTGCGCAGTCAGCTGATGCAAGACATCTGGAGGCGAGGCGTGGGTGAACTCAGTTTGAGATGTTAATCTTCTACTGGCAATCTAGACTAGTCGACGTGACGAGTCGTCGTTTGGATGGCAGAACGAACATTGGCCGTGCGGTGTTCCTTTGCTGACAGACTTGAGTAAAAGTGATAATAAACCTGCCGTGTCAAGTGCATCGGAGGTGGAGAACTGCTCATTTCGCGATGCCGGTATTTAATGGTTCATTTGATCCAATCGGGCAGGAACACCTTACATGAATAAGTCTTATCTTCATGCCATCATGGCCGATCGCAGAATAGAGAAGTTCGATAAGAAGTCCACACTTAACTGTGAATGCGCCAATGTGGACAAATAACCATCAAGGCGTTGAACACTCAAAGACGAACCAGATGATGGAATAACTCAAAGTGCGACAGGTCCTCGGAGTTAAAGATACACCGTTTGCCTCATTTCATAAACATGGATTACTAATGCGTTCCAAAGTAGACATGGGTATTACCAACTCAGGCTACGATATCGATGAACTCTGCGAGAACTACCCATTCTTCGTGTGCATAAAATAAAATTTTGATGAAAGAACCGGCTCTCTTGCTGGTCGAACCACATAGTTTTGCAACAACTAACCGGATACAAATGTGCTTATGAGGACCCAGAGTGAAACCAACTCCGATTCAGCAATGTCTGTTTCGTTACCTATTCAACAGGGACAATAGACGCCTGGTTATGACAACATGACGCCCAACACTCTGACACCCGTTTTGTGTCCGTTGACTATCAGAATTGAAACAAATGAATGTGCGTTTTTGCAAACAAACAATCATGTGCGGAGTGAAAGGGAGTCTCAGGAAAATCCAAGTTGACAACTTCTGCCATCAGAGCCTGTGTTAGGTTAAACTCAAGGCTCATGCCACAACTAAATAGGTTCCGGCAAACGCTGTCATGATGGAAGGTGTTTGGTCAAAAAGTGCACACCAATTTTCATTGAACCTTGACTGTTTTCGCAGAGAACCGCCTTCCTAAATGAGGCTGAAATATGGACTCAAGTGGTGCGTAACCCTACGCGATTTAATGCGCAAGAGGATGTTGATATTTAGGTCGAAAATGTCCGCAGTCACCCAGAAAATGCACTTTCTGGAAGGAATCACTCCCAGGATACTTTCTGTTTTAATGCATGTGCAGATTCCAAACCACTTTCTGGAAGGCTTCTCCGAAAGATTTCAACTCTTATGACGTAACTAACGAATCTGCAATTTATTGGCATTTGAGGATTGAACGAGAGAATCTTTCTGTGTAGAATCGAATAATGCGCTTTCCCTCCAACGCATACGGTTTTCAAGCCATGTATATGCAACACATGGGAATTTGACCCATTTGCATGCGTAAAATCAAACGCAATAGTTATTCAAATATAATTATGTATAAGTTGGTTTTTGAATGTCAGCATGCTGGGATTCAAATAAGCCCATTTTACGCACCGGCGTAAAATGCACTTTGAATGATAGCTAACTAACATTTACATCAGATTTAGATGTCTGCATAAGTTAGACAATACCTCTTAAAAGTGAATCATCACCGAATTTCCGCGATGATCATTGTATGCACGGTTGTGATTATTTCCACTTTTCACCTGTCGCAATGTAGTGTATGATCCCTAGAAAGGTTCACGAACTTCCGCACGTTGTTAAAACATGCACATATTGAACTTTGTACTGCTGAATGAGTGTGCTGCGCCGTCCTTAATACCAACGCCTATGCGCTGCAGGGGGGTGTGGTATCCTCCATGATCCACAGCTGACATATTGATGACAAGATTTGAGTCACCATAAAGCGTCTGCAGCACTGCCGTCGCACATTCCGTAGGAATTACCTGCCTGGAATCGTGAGGTTATGGCTGTCTGGAAACATTGCCGCCGTCTGACAGTTCGACTGCCGTTACCGGTTATGCCCACCATTAGAAGCGAAGAGACGAGTCCCAGGAAGCAGTCTTGAAGAAGGAGACTCGATCGCCGGGACAAAAGCTTTATTAGCCTGACGTTTCGGATTCCTCCTCGAACCCATCATCAGAGACAAAAGAACAGAAACGGGTGGTTCATGCATAAGGGGCTTCAGTATTTATAGGATGCAGTAGCCATGCTACCGCAGACCTATGAAGATTCACGACTGCCCGTTTCATCAGGGATCGTTGCGCATGGTGTGATGGACGACATTCGCGTCGTTAATTGCTGCAATTTCGTCACGTGCGTTGGATGTTGGTGTGATGATTGCCCGACCATCTGACGCGCTGACCCTGGTGTTGGAAAAGTGTTCACCTGTGCGCTCCCCGCGTGGCAAATTACTCCGCCTAGGCGAAATCTCAGCACCGAGTATGGAATGGAGAGATCATTGCACTTGTTAATTGACTGGGGGCCAGTAAATCATGACTCAAGTAGCTCCCGGCTCACGCGGCTGTCGCTTTTTGCGAGAATTTCGGCCTCGTCAAAGTTGAATATGTGGCCGGATCTCGTCGAATGAGCCGCAACTTGAGAGCTAGCGTCATTTTTCCGCACCGCTGCAGCGTGTTCGGCCATTCTCGTTCGGAGCTGTCTTCCGGTTTCTCCGACGTAGTTTCTTGGTCCGTAACTGCACCAGGTCCGATAAGCGACTCTTTATGCCCACCATGTGTTCTAAAGCAAGAGGAGAGCAGACTTTCGAAGCATCTACCTCACCATCACCACTACCCGCCTGAGTCCGGCGTTAAGGCATAGCCGAGAAGGCTGAAGGCGGGAGAGGGCGCGGGTGGCTGACACGGCCGGACCCGCATCTAGGCGTACCACAACACGCCCTGATCTGCAACAAACACTTGGCCAGGATTTTAACCAACAACAAAAACAAATGACGGGTCAGAAAGAGGAGGATGATGATTGGACAGCCATGCTCATGATCCGTATACCCAGAGGGAGCGCGAACGCATCCACTGGCAGGGGGGAATCAGGCGCCAAAGAACCGCCAGCGCACACCAGACTGCGAGGGCTATGGTTTTTGAAGCTTGGCATGACACATGCACACAGTCATTCAGGCCCAAAAGGGCGAGACGCAGCCCTGCACTTAGCTTAGGCTATCGTCCTTCAAGGCCAGCTAACCAATCAGTCATCGACTTAGAGACACTACCCATGTACTCACACACATTCCTCACGCATGCGTGAGAGTGCCAGAGGTCACGTTAAAAAGGGGCCATTGCAGTTTGACTTTCAGTCCACCAGTCCGCCACTCCACACAAACATACACAACTGGACTGACTGTGTGGACTCAGTTGAAGCGTCAGTCGACACCCTTCCCAGCCACGGGGCTTGGCGCGCACAGTGATTGTTCTAGGCTTGAACCAAATAAGCAGCAGAGGAACCACGTGTAGAAGGAGCCGAAATGCACACTTCCCACTTAAGTGAGAGGTGGCAATTGAGCGTTTGTGTTATGTGATAATGGGTGATGTTAATGTGTGTTGCAGGTGTTTGTGGTGAAGGCGGGGTGCTTTAGTATATCCGGCGGTTGTCTGTTGCAGGTTTTTGTGAGTGCGCATGTGACCCAATAGGCCTATGCGGTGGCTGAATGCGCGTGGACAGTACGGATAGTGAAGGCGGATGCGGCGAGTGCATGTGGGTGCTCCAGGCACTGGTTCGCCAGTCTCTGTGCAATGGATTCACAAGTGACCGACTAGGCCGATGTGTGAGGTGAAGGTGCGGTCGCAATGAGGACAGGTTTGAACCGAGTCCACATCGCTCTAGGCGGGGGTGCTGGTAGTGACGGTAGCAGATGATGAGACGTCGGATGTCGTCCCATCGGCGTAGGGAGGACATGATGTCGGGATTTTAGCAGAGCTGATCGCTGTGGTCGACGCAAGTGTTTGGAGCAGGTTGGATGATGTCGATGATTTATGACGGCGAGTAGTGTGGCAATCAGTGATGGGGATGGTCATCGTCACGGGGTTCGAGGCAAAGGCAATAGTGGGAGGGAAAGTTGACGTTGTCGGTTTGTTGATGCATTGCGTTCGAAGGCTTCCTACGAGGCTGATTGGCGGGCAGAATGTGCGTTGGCAGCACGGGTTGACTGTTCACAATGAGAAGTCGAGGCACTTGTAACTTACGAGCCTTCCCTTTGGCTTTGGCGGCGGCGATTAGATTTGCTTCGTAAATGCCTGTGCGGAACCCTCACTCCTCTTCTCCATACCGACTTGTTCTAGGCGAGGTAATCTAGGTCTCCGATTTGGTCCGCAGTCATTATAGAGAGTTCATAAAAGTGTCCTTGTAGCGGCTTTTTTACTTCCTTATGGACCTGTACCCGTGGGGACATCACCATAGAAGAGTTGGTTCAGTAGACGTGAATCTTCCATCCTCACGAGGTGGCCACTACAACAAAGCTATTGCCCCACTATGGCGTGAATGCTGGGAATTCCAGTCACTTCTATGATTTCCGTGTCGGGAACTTTGTCATGTCCGCGAAGGTAACCGAAATGGAAGTGAGTGAGCTTCCTGGAATGGCTGGAGTATAGAAGTTTCGTCAGGACACGGCTTTGTACATCTTCAGTTGAATGGCGTGGCGATTCCACAAGGGGTTCTCCAGCCGGCCAAAGGCTTTGCTGACTTCGTAGATCCAGTGGGTCATTTCGTCGTCGATTCTGATGCAGCGTGACGTTGTTCTTCCTAGGTAGTTGAAGTTATCCACGGTCTTCAGTTTCGTGCCGTTGAGGTGGATGCGAGGGACTCTGTATTAAGCGGTCGCTGGCTGTTGATGCATTATCACCGTCTTATCCGTATTGATGGTCAGACCGAGGTGGGCGCAACCGGGGTCGAGGAGGTCCATGCTCCGTTAAATGTTTTCTTCGGTCGTACCGCTGAATGCGCTGTCGTCAGCGAAGAGCAGGTCGTGGATAGTAGTTTTGGAGAGCCGCGGCGTTGCCTGCGCTCGCCACCTGTTATGAAGGCGCCCGTCGGTCCTGTAGTCAATGCGGGTCCTGGAGCGCTCATTACGGTAGGCACCCACCAGCATGGCAGAAAACATGAGGCTGAATAGTGTGGCAGCGAGTACGCAGTCCTGTCGTCACGTGCACCCTTATCTCGTCATGGAGCTGGCGTACCATGTGCGTGAGTTTCTAGAGGCAGTGGAACTTCTGCATGTTTTTCCCAAAATCCTCAGCGATTCACCGTTTTGAAGGCTTTCGTCGGGTCCACGAAGGTGGGAGGCAAACACCATATTAGTGGTGTCCCGGTGTTGCCGAAATTCACGCCGACTTTCCGACAGAAGTCCTTGCTCTAGGTGGTCGTTGAGCGGGCAAAGATCTTCTCAGAAGATGAAGATGCGATCACTGGGACAAGAAGTTTATTTGCCTGACGTTTCGGATTCTTACTCGAACTCATCATCAGAGACATTCGCAGATAGAGGTGAAGGTGGCACCAGGAGTGCAGTATTTATAGCACGTGGCTGCCGTGGGACCGTATGCGCACTGCAATTAACAGTTCTCACAATCGCCGCTGGGGTCGTAATTGATGCGGCGGTGGCTTGGCGGTCCGAGTCCGAGTGGTTAATTGCCGCGATTTCGTCATCCGTGCTCGATGCTGGTGTGACGATTGCTCGGCAAACTGGCTCACTGTCACCGTGATAATTGCTCACCCGCGCCCTCCCCACGTGACTGATTCTCCTGCCCAGGGAAAATCGCAATACGGAATAGGCCACCGGGAGGTCATTGTGTTTGTTGATGGATTGCGGCCCTGAGAACCATGAATCGAGCAGCTCGCGGCTCACGCGGTTGTCACCCCTTGCGAGGATTTCGGCCTCTTGAAATTTGAAATTATGGCCGGGTCCCGTCGAGTGTGCCGCCACCTGAGAGTTAGCGTCTCCCCGCCTCACTGCTGCTGCGTGCTCGGCAAGTCGCGTACGGAGTAATCTCCCAGTTTCTCCGACATAATTGCTTTGTCCGCAACTACACCAGATCCGGTAAACGACTCCAGACGTTTCCTGCCGTGGCAGCGGGTCTTTTGGCCTCATGACTTGGCGCCTAATGGTTGCTTCCGGCCTGTGTGCAACCCCAACTCCAAGTGGAGTGAGAAGACGACTGACGGCTTCCGAGACGTTCTTCACGTACGGAAGAGCCCGCCAAAATTTGGGGCTAGTTGGATTTGGTCTCTGGTGTCCTTTTCGTATGCACTGGTTGACAAAGTTGCGCGGGTAGCCATTGGCTCTCATCACCCGTCGAAGATATTGTAATTCAGCAAACTTGTCTTCCATTTCACTGCAGTACGTCTCAACACGCGGGTATAGCGCCCTTACGCAACTGCGTTTGTGACTGATCGGGTGGTTGCTATTGAAGTTCAGTATTTGCGTCGTATTTGTCGCTTTCCTGAACCAAAGCGAAACATGGAAACCAAGTTTGCTAAATTATAGCCCCGTCGATAAGTAAAGAGACCAACCAACATTGATCCCAAACCTTGACGAGCGTTCCCGTACCTTAGGAACGACTAGGAAGACGTCTGTCGCTTTCCCACACAACTCGCGGTTGGGGCCGCATACAGACGGGAGGTAACCATTAGGTGCCAAGTGATGAGGACTAAACGTCCGATACCACAGTTGGAAATCTCTGCAGTAGTTAATCAGATTTGGTGCCGTCTCAGGCAAAGCAACTGTAACAGAGAGACGAGACAAGTACTCCGGACGTGGATGGTCAAACACATATGGGCAATGAGTGGACTGAGTCGCAGTTCACTCAGGACGACTTGGCAACACCTTAACTTTTAACAAAACCGAAATCCCCATGACGGACACCAACCGCGTGATTCGCGATCTGCTGGCTATGATTCTCCAGCGCGCAGTAAATCAGCAAGTGCAATCACTCCCCGACTCTCCGTCCGTCGCTTGGCTTTTGTACACGCAGAAAAATTAGTCATGCGAAGAGCATACAGGTAAACTCTACTTCCAGTGGCGGTGACGATGCGTGTCGATCAGAAATCCTGGTGGTAGAATCGCGGCCAGTAACGACTCTGATGCGGGCGACCAAGCGATTATCTACAATAGATGCGGGCGCTATTGGGCTGAGCAAACGGCGTGTGGTGTAAACATGGCGTCTCATAAATACTACATTTGTTTTGCACCAGTTCCTTTATTCCGTTGTCGCAGCTGGCGAAGGGCAGAAGAGGGGACTCGGAAAGACAGGCGGAGGAATAGACAGTCAGCGGAAGGTAACAGAAATAATGGGCAGGCGGAGATCTGCCAGACAAGCAATCAGGTGAAAACAAGGACAGACAGAAGGAGAGAGCGAGAGAGAAGAGGAAGTGCCAGACAACTGTTTATTGGCAGTAGATATCAGATGGGCAATGACGTAGCTGTTAGCTGTCCTCGTATCACATTGCCCTTGCAAGTGGCGACTCGTTTAACCAATAGGACTCGCAGTTGAAAGAGAAAATACACGTAAATGAGGCTGTGGAGACGACCTGCTATAACATCTATGTCAAGGAATCAGGTCGACGGGGAATTTCGCTGCTGCCTCAGCGGCGGTAAGTTGTGAAACGCGGCCTGGAGAAACAGTCTCATAGGGAGAGTCTTCGACAAGGACTAAGTATATGCGCGGGGTAAGAAAATTCCAACCGTTGTTTTACAAATTCCTCAGCGTTTTAACACTCCTGCTTTGCTGGCAGACGTATTCATTCCATCTAACAATATGTCGAGTATTTTTACTACCTGACTGTTTTCCGTTTCGAACGTTTTTTTAAATGAGTTTTCCTCTTACTAAAGAATTACGTGAGGGGTGGACAGAAAGCAGCACTGAATCCTCGGGACAGTACAGGTTGGCGAATGTCATCCTGCCGACGAAGGATCGACCAAAAATCCTGCCGAAAACACCTGCTTTTAGAAATATTGTAGACAGTTCTCCTTAGTTTATCCTTACCCCGCGCATATACTTAACCCTTGCTGAGTCTTGCATTCTTTTTTTCATTCCGCGGTAGCGGCTGACCCTTTGTCTAAGTCCTCTCAAAGGCATTGGTCATAGTAGTCGTTCTCACGCAGGATATTCATGACTGCCTCAGACCGGGGCTCGATGTTGACAGACATCTGACATTTACATCGCTTTCTGTTACACGTCAAGTAGATTTGCGTTTGTGACTAAACTGCATGAAACTATTAAGCTTCATGTACTACGAAGATCGGGGTTTCCATCCTATAGACGATTATTCAAAGTAAGTTATTCAAAATCTGCAAAAGCACTTACTTATCAGAAATCAGTTCAGTGTGTGCTTAGACTGTGAGCCTCTCTCATTCCTGAATCATTTGACTTTCTCTTTTGGTATTAGTCTGTTCTCAAACCTCGAATTTCCGCTTCGAGTGGAAATCCTTTTTAATAAAGGTTGCAAATATGTCTATTACATTCAACGTATACGTTCCTATCACACAACCTCAGCCCCTAATTTGATGATTTAGTGATTGAAGCATTCTTTCTCTCGACCTTCATCTTTTTTCCTTTATTTCCCCGCAATACTTCGAATAGAAATGCTTACTTCGAAACGTGCACTCTGAATGATCTTTTTTGAAGATGCCACAAAAATCAACCACACTGCAAGACCAGTGTCTTGGAAAACCCAGGGAACACACTCGTACATTCTAGCCCTAACTTGCCACCACCCAACTAAGCAGGATATATGATATGATTCGATTACTTGGAAACGACAAAGATACATGCCGATAGAGTAGGTTAAACTTGCCTTTCATTCACCTGAGAGTTAGTAGACGAAAGACCATCAACAAAACGGGATCAGAATTGGTCAGTAGAGATAATAATGTAGATACTTATGAGATGGTGGTCTTATGTAATAAACCGGTTTTAAAGACCGACAGCACAACACGATTCGTCAAAAGTGACTTGTAGTCTTGGAAAGTATGAAATTACCTATCAGGATGCAGTGGGCAAGGTATAATGGAGAATAATACAGGATCTATGTGGTTAGTTGGACCAGATGATCCGTCTGACACAGTCAGTGAGTGAATTACTTACATATCCTCTCTCGCCACCTCCATCCTTCTTAAGACTATCTAATGTTCACTGCTGTCTAGGTTCCGATCAGGCTTGACGAGGTTTCGTTTTAGTCAAAACTCGCCTTTTACTACTACTACTACTACTACTACTACTACTACTACTACTACTACTACTACTACTACTACTACTACTACTACTACTACTACTACTACTACTACTACTACTACCACTGCTCCCACCCATCCTTCGCACCACGCTAAACGGCATGTCTGATCAAAATCCCCGACCGTAGGCCAAGCATTTCTGGTTGACCATTTTAATCTGTTTTCTTCTCAAACATCGAGCCGTGGTGGCCCAGAGTTGACGAAAAGGTCCGAAAGTTAACGTTGTCATCAATTTCTTCATGATTCGTCACTTTCGCCTTGTTCAACTAACTAAACCGCTTGAGAAGTTTACCCAAATATTGACGTTAACTAGTGTCTGCATATAGCGTGAATCGGGGCAATCATCCTATCATTCAGGCTGGAAGACAATTTCCGCACCCATTGACTGAATAAGTAAGTTGCCTTATTATTCATTGAAATTACCCCTAACTGACCGTCTTTTCCTAAATAACACATTCCTTAGCATGACCTATTGATGAATATCCCACCGAACGCACCGAAATCCATTTAGCACTCCGATTTCAGATCAAAATACGCGTTCACTATCTGTTTCTCCTTGGTTGCAATTCTAATCTGGCAATCGCCAATTGTGTCTGGGAAAAGGGCCGTCCGGACTTGACTATCTAACTCAAACTCGTCTCTACTACTTGACGTATTCGAAGGTGGCAATGACGTGACGCTACTGCGGACTCGATCATTGATAACGATCCCCATTTCAAGGCACTTACACTGTCTTGTGAATGCTGTACAACAAGCCTCAGTTTAGTCGATCGGCGAGCAATCTTTAGTTGACCTAAATCAAAAATTTGTTCAAATACTCTGACCATGTACCCGTCAGACAAACCTCCTTCCGATACCACTAGGGAAATTTCTGGCTACTTAGATGTCATTTTAAATCACTGCATTTAAGTGAATGTTCCTCTGTAAGATTTAGCTTCTCTTTGAACGAAAACTGCACACTCGCATTCATGCACTCTACAATGAGAAGAGAGCGGGCGGAATTTGCCGCAGTCCTATTTCGCAAGTCAACATCGCGTTCCACCGGAAGCCCTGAATGCTCCTTGAACTAGTGCTCAGCACGGAAGATTTATACTCGCACTGTTTTCCCACAATGGATTAAACCCATATCCACTCTTTCTGTCTGTGCCCAGTAAGGCATGAGTTAGCGCCTTTCTTGAGATAAACACGCATGCTTGCGGTTTGGCGACGCCCACTACACTGACAGTGATTGGTGGGCAGTGCGTTCAAGAAGTCGAGGCGATTGATCATGGACATGCCTTAACTACCCAATGTGTGTGGTGAGACAGTGAGGATGCACGTGGAGGCGGTCACGTGAACTAAGGTCCATCTGTCAAGGCGGAGAAGCGTCCCAAAATGATCCGAATTTCCGTCAGAGGGCATTCATGAATTAAACCGCCCAGTGTATGAATTCCCTTTACTGTTAGAGGCAATATTCCCAGTATGAAATCAGTACGCTATGTCTTCCAGATTTATTTTCAACGCTTCTGTAGTCTTTTAAGTAGCAAGCTAATTTGTTCGTGAGTTTCCGCACATGCTGCATTCCAGTATTGCCGTAATAATCATGAGTGGAGTTGCTTTGAATATTTGCAATTGCGCATGCCTGACTTTTTGAATTTGAGCAGCTTTCTAGTCATTTTGGCCTGCTAGCCCGACAACGTTTAGTCGGAAGCGCAAGCATCTAGATATCTTCTTTTTCGAATGAGCAAGATAATATTTCCCTTTAGCTCTACGGCCGACAAAATCATCGCGTGAGCCTCCCAGGTCATAGGGGACTGTTCTTTTTTTGTCCTAATCGCGTGAGATTCTAACATTCTTCTCTCATATTGACCCAGCTGTGAAAAACTCGATGTTTCGGTGGGATTCGAACCCTCGCAGTAAGGGGAAGGTTTTAGTACAGCCAACGCTCTAACCACTTGAGTTACGAGGCCCCGCCGGACGACGCGAGTTTAATCACATCTTTTCTCAGCAGCCAACATTTCCCACTATCCCTTCAAGGTCATCCGTGTTGCAATGATTGTGCGTAAGAGTCGATGTGCTGCCTGCACTTACTGTATGCTGTTGCGGGCTGTGCGATGCCAGCCGTTTGGAACGACTTGAAACTGAACGCACATGGTTGACCCCTGATGAAAAGTCCACTGAAGTTGCCTGTCCTTAATAACGATTCGTTGGTGTACGTTGATGCACCCAGCCCTAGCAGCTGGACTGTAATCATGGTGATCGACGCTTTGTAAACAAAGCGTTCACACGCTTTCCAAACCAGTATTTTGCCTGATCGAAAGAAAAGACGCGTTTAGATTTGAAGGATGGTCGGCCGTGCGATGACAATAATGATCACAGTCTAAGCTTCATGCTTACAGGGTTTCCAGCATTGAGCACTCTCGAACTTGCTGCAATCCTATGGGAAAATTAGAAGTCATCGCGACAGAACTGGAAGATATCTGGATTTGTTTTGTCCGCGCAGTCAACTGATGCAAGACATCTGGAGGCGAGGCGTGAGTGGACTCAGTTTGAGATATTGATCTTCTACTGACAATCTGGACTAGTCGACATGACGAGTCGTCATTTGGATGACAGAACGAACATTGGCGGTGCGGTGTTCCCTTGCCGACAAACTTGAACAAAAGTGCTGATAAACCTGTCAAATAGAGCGCATCGAAGGCGGAGAACTGTTCATTTTGCGATGCCGGTCTTTAACGGTTCATTTGATCCAGTCGGGCAAGAACACCTTACATGAATAAGTCTTATCTTTATGTCATCATGGCCGATCGCAGAATAAAGAAGTTCGACGAGAAGTCCACACTTAACTGTGAGTGTGCCAGTATGGACAAATAACGATCAGGCCCTGAACAATCAAGGACAAACCAAACGATTGAGGAACGCAAATTGCAACAGGTCCTCGGAGTTAAGGATATACCGTTTACCTCATTTCATAAACATGGCTTACTAGTGCATTCAAAAGTAGACATGGGTATTGCCAGGTCAGACTGGGATATCGATAGACTATGACTGAGCTACCCATTCTTTGTATACATGAAATAAAATTTAGATGAAATAACCGGTAATATCGCTAGTCAGACTACATAATTTTGCTACATCCGACCGGATACAAATGTGCTTATGGAGGACCGAGAGTGAAACCAACTCCAATTCCGCACAGTCTGTTTCGTTACCTATGCAACAGAGACAATAGACGCCTAGTTATGACAACATGACACCCAACACTCTGACACCCGTTTTGTGTCCGTTGACCCTCAGAATTGACACAAATGCATGTGCGTTTTTTGCAAACAATCCTGTGCGGAGTGAATCGGAGTCTCAGGAAAATACGACTTGACAAGTTCTGCCAGGAGAGACTGTGTTTGGCTAAAATCACGGCTCATGCCACACCTAAATAGGTCCCTGCAAACGCTGTCACGATAGCAGGTGTTTGGTCAAAAATTTTACACAATTTTTTTGAACCTTGACTGTTTTCGCAGAGAACCGCCTTCCTAACTGAGGCTGCAATATGGACTTAAGTGGTGCGTAACCCTACGCGATTTAATGCGCAAGGGGATGTTGATATTTAGGTCGAAAATGTCCGCATCCACCCAGAAAACGCGCTTTCTGGAAGGAGTCACTACCAGGCTATTTTCATTTTTAATGCATGTGCAGATTCCAGTCCACCTTTCGGAAGGCGTCTCCGAAAAATTTCACGTAACTTACGAATCTGCAATTTATTATCATTTGAGGATAGAACGAAAGAATCTTCTTGTGTAGAATCGAATAATCTGCTTTCCCTCCAGAACTCAAGGTTTTCAAGCCATGCATATTGAAACACATGGGAATTTGACCCACTTGCATACGTAAAATCAAATGCATCATTTAGTCAAGTATAATTATGTATAAGTTGGTTTTTAAATGTCAGCATGCTGGGATTCAAATAAGCCCATTTTACGCACCGGCGTAAAATGCACTTTGAATGATAGCTAACTAACATTTACATCAGATTTAGATGTCTGCATAAGTTAGACAATACCTCTTAAAAGTGAATCATCACCGAATTTCCGCGATGATCATTGTATGCGGGGTTGTGATTGTTTCCACTTTTTCACCTGTCGTAATGTAGTGTATGATCCCTAGAAAGGTTCACGTTGCTAAAACATTCACATATTGAACTTTGCACCACTGAATGAGTGTGCTGCGCCGTCCTTAATAGCATCGCCTTTGCGATGCAGGGGGTTATGGTATCCTCCATGATCCACAGCAGACATATTGATGACACGATTCGAATCAGCATTGCTGTCGCTCACTCCGTAGGAATTACCTGCCTAGAATCAATGCCGTCGTCTGACTGTTCGACTGTCGTTACCGACCATGTCACCCATGTGCTCTACAGCAAGAGGAGAGCTGCTACGGTGACTTGCGGGTGGATTAGTTTACAAGGATAACAGACTTTCAGAGCATCTAACTCACCATCACCCTTACTCGCCTGAGCCCGGCGTCAAGACACAGCCGAGAAGGCTGAAAGCGGGAGAGGACGCGGGTGGCTGATACGGCCGGATCCGCAGCGTACCACAACACACCCTGATTTACAATAAACATTGGCGAGGATTTTAACCAACAACAACGCCAACAACAAATGACGGGTCAGAAAGAGGATAATGGCCGGACAGCCATGCTCATGACCCGTGTACCCAGCGGGAGCGCGAACGCATCAGGTGCCAAAGAACTGCCAGCGCACACGAGACTGCGAGGGCTATGGTTTGCTGAGGCGTGGCATGGCATATGCCCACAGTCATTAAGGCCCAAAAGGCTGAGACGCAGCTTTACACTTAGCCTATGTCATCGTCCTTCAAGGCCAGCTAACCAATCAGCCATTGACTGAGAAGCACTACCCATGTACACACACATAGACCTCACATACGTGGGAGTGCCAAAGGTTACGTTAAGAAGGAGCCGTTGCAGCCTGACTCTCAGTCCATCAGTCCGCCACTCGACACAAACATACACAACTGGGCTGACTGCGTGGACTGAGTTGAAGCCTCAGTCGGCAACCTTCCAAGCCACGGCGCTTGGCGCACAGTGATAGTTCTAGA